CCCCCCCACTTTCCCCTCAGAGGAGTGTGAGGGGGGTGAAGCCATTGAGGGCACCTGGATGGCTTTAGCTCCTTCCCTTCAGGGTAGCGCCTCGCTTTGGAGTCATTCCCTCAATCGTTTTTCTCTTTTGATTGTGTCTTGAGCCTCTGTCGTCCCTCCTAGGTCTTGTGGCGCCTAGTGCTGGAAATGGTAAATCCAGGTCCTTGGCACGGATGCGCGGTGGAAGGAGGTTTTTCACAGAGGATTGTGATTGAGGCTTGCTGGGGCTTTGCAAGGCACTGGGGACATGGCTGGTGCGGGAGGGGGAAAGCCTTTGGTCTGAGGAGCTGCAGTTCCTGCAGGGAGGGAACTGATCATAGAATTGCCCAGATTGGAAAAGACCATTAAGATCATGGAGTCCAATCATGAACCCAACACTGACAAGTCCCTGACTAACCCATGTCCCTCAGCACTGTGTCTACATGACTCTTCAATCCCTCCAGGGATGGGGACTCCACCACTGCCCTGGGCAACCCCTTCCAATGCCTCAGAACCCTTTCAGCAAAGAAATTCTTCCTCACATCCAATCTCAACTGCCCTTGGTGCAACTTGAGGCCATTTCCTCTTGTCCTGTCACTTGTTCCGTGGCTGAACAAACCGACCCCACCTCTCTCCACCCTCCTTTCAGGGAGTTGCAGAGAGCCAGAAGGTCTCCCCTCAGCCTCCTTCTCTCCAGTTCTCTCAAGGGTCTGCCCTTGGCCCCTTATGATGGCACAGCCTGGGGCGTAGCAGGTCACCTGCCTTCCTTTCAGTGACCCCAACCCCTTCTCTTTCTGTCATTCTGCGTTCCTCTATACAGACAGCAATAAATTCTATGCCCAGTTCCAGATCAGGTTCAGTCAAACCCTCTGCTTGGAGGCTGGGTGTCAGGGAAGTGTTTGGTTCACCGTACGGTCCAAGGTCATGATGCTGAAAATAATGATGGGTGATGGGCATTGAAAAGTCTGAGAAAGACTGAGGAGTGCTGCTGTCCTGCTGCTGGAGGGAAATAGCAGTGGGGTTTGCAGATGGTTTGGCCAGAAGTGCTTCAGCTGTGCCATGGAGCGACGCAGGAACAGCAAGGCGGTAGCAGGTCAGTGGCGAGCTCTCCAGGCAGAGCCGGGTCCTGGGCAGACCAGGAATGGAGCCACAGGGAGCTGCGGTACGTGAGGGGAGAGACCAAGAGCAATACAGGTCTGGACAGAGGGGCACCAGAGGGGTTTGAGAGAGCCAAGAGGTGGTTGGATGATCTCTTGTGCCCCTTGGGGTACAGATGCACTGACTAGACTGTGGGGAGAAGCGTGCGCAGCATCTGTCCGTCCTGCCTGGATCTTGTTAATGCTGTCAGGACCTTCACTTTCGTAAGGTCTAAAATGCACTGTGTTTTAAAGAGAGCAGAAGGACTGTCTGGAGTGTATGGGCTCTTCGTTCCTGGAATGTAAAGGAAACCTCGGCTGTGAAGCTGGAGTGCAGGGGGCTTCATTCCTTAGTGAAAGCAGAGAAGGGAAATGCAGATGTCACAGCTGGGACAGGAGATTTATCTTGGCAAGCAAAGAGGAAAAATACTTTCAAAAAGAAAAGAGAAAACTCAGAAGAATCCCCTCCCCATCTGCACTGCCTGCCAGCACGAGCAGAACCTCCAACCTGCAAAGGCCCTTCGTCTCCTGGGCCTGGGCTGCCGCCCAGCTGGATTAGCCCCTCGCTGCTTTCTCTTTGGAGCGAGACCATTGTGGTGGGAGCAGGGAGGCTGTGAGAACCAGGCTGATCCTGAAGAGAGATTGTCTCCAAACAGCTCAGCTGGAGGTGGGAAGGGGAAAGTCATAGGCAAAGGATGGAAGAGTGAAAGGGAAAGGGAGAGACAGATGCAGCCAAGGTGTCCACAGAGGAGAACTGGATCCAGGAGGAGGAAACCACCCCTCCTCAGCCATGCATGGTGCCAGTGGGCTACAAGAGTGGCACCTCCAGGCACCTTGTGTGCAACTGGGCAGAGGAGAAGGCTTAATGCCCCTGTCTCTGCTTGGGGCCCCAGAGGTCCATCCCCAGCTCTGGGTTGGGGGAGTAGAGAGCTTGCATTTGGATGTCTGGATGCTTTACATTAGCTCCCAAGATAACTGTTGTACAACAGGAAAGGGTGTTCGAATGAGAAGTGCACGCACGCACATACAGTGTGCTATTTAGACAACCCTAAGCATGAGGTCAGGGGGAAAACATGTGGTGGAAATATGTTTGGAAGAGTCGGTGCCTATGTTGGTCACCAGGAATGGGAGGGAGCAGGAGCCGGCAGCTGACAGATTCGCTCTCTTTCCCCATGGCTGAGGTGGCCTCAGCCCCAGCAGATCCTCCTGTGGCACCAGAGCAGCTTAAGGCTGGCTGTTGGGCCTGGAGATGCGGTGGTCATTGCCTCCCCTGTTCCTGTGCACCCTGTCTTGTCCCCTTTGGGGGCTGCCTCCCCATCCTCCCAGAACTGCGGTGGTGGGGGTGGGATGGGCAGCCAGAAACGGGGCTTGGATCAGAAAATCCAGCACATCCTCGCCATTGCATTTCTGTCCCTTGGCTGCCCCTTCCCTGACCGCTCGCTGGTAATACAGCTTTGGAAACACATCTCGTGCTATTTCTTGGCTTTGGAGCATAGTTAGAAGAAGAAGGAAGGAGGGTGTGAAAGGGAGGGGGAGAGATAGCAGGAGCGAATAATGCAAAATGAGACTTGTGTTGTCAGCTTTGTATCCCATCTGGAAGCCGTTTTCTCCCAGTACACTTCACACCCGCTCCCTCTGGGCCAGGATGGTAAGGATCACGTTTCCCAGTTGACTGGTCCCTCTTGCTCAAACCAGGCCCATCTGCGTGAAAGCTACTTGAGATATCTTAAAGGAGCATCTCAGCAGAGTTGCAGAGTCCTTCATTGTCACAAGTAGAAATTCTTGGCCAGTTCCTTGAGGAGCAGGAGCTGGTTGATGTCAGTCTGGTTGGAAGGTGCTCTTGTGGAGAAGAGACTAGGTCTTGAAGAGGCTCTGAGAGGATGAACCTCCTCTGCTTGTGCATCTCTGTACATCCCACCTTCATTCATGTCCAAGTGCTGTAGACACTTTCTTGGAGCTTCCACCAACACGTGCTTCTGGTCTGCTGAGATCTTTGTTGCCATGGTGTTAGCAAAAGGCTCTCCAAAGCCCAGCACAGTCATTTTATTGAGTGGCAGCGCACACAGGCCTCTATCTGTGCTGGCCCCAGTCTGGGTGGGAAGAGAGGGCTGCTGGCTGCCCACACCTCCTTTGGCATGTGGCCTTCCAGCCAGAATAAAGCTACTGTCCACTTGGTCTGGTGAGAAACCTGCTTCTGTTTATCGCTCAGACACTCAGAGCGCTGACCCTGCCGTGCTCTGCCATGATCCACACAGCCCTGAGCCCCTGGGACCTGCGGTTCCCCGGAGCCTGCTCTCCCACACTGTTACGGAAGAGCACGGCTGAAGCCTTCTCCGAGTTTTGCCAGATAGGCGCAGCTCCCGCAAGGAGGCTGAGTGGGACTCAGTTTGCATATTCTGGGTTAGCAGGCTGGATCTAAACTAATTAGCAGTGGTTTTCAGAGAATCACAGAATGTTGGGGATTGGAAGGGACCTCGAAAGATCATCCAGTCCAACCCCCCTGCCAGAGCAGGAACCTAAATGAGATCACACAGGAAGGCGTCCAGGTGGGTCTTGAATGTCTCCAGAGAAGGAGCCTCCCCACCCTCCCTGGGCAGCCTGTCCCAGGGCTCTGTCACCCTCACTGTAAAGAAGTTTCTTCTCAAGTTTAAGCGGAACCTCCTGTGTTCCAGCTCACACCCACTGCCCCTTGTCCTACCATTGGACATCACTGAGAAGAGCCTGGCTCCATCCTCATGACATTTGCCCTTAACATATTTGTAAACATTAATGAGGTCTCCCCTCAGTCTCCTCTTCTCCAAGCTAAAGAGCCCCAGCTCCCTCAGCCTTTCCTCAGAAGGGAGATGCTCCACTCCCTTCATCATCTTGGTGGCTCTGTGCTGGACTCTCTCCAGCAGTTCCCTGTCCTTCTTGAACTGTGGGGCCCAGAACTGGACACAATATTCCCGATGTGGCCTCACCAGGGCAGAGTTGAGGGGGAGGAGAACCTCTCTTGACCTTTAGGTTTTGATGGCATCTATCCAAACTAAGCTCTGGGCTGCTCCTCACTATGCCCATCACCGTTGGATCTGGACAAGAGGACAGTTTTCCCTGTCACCATGTGGTTGCATGCACGGCTGTCTTTCCTAATCTGAGATCTGTCCTGAAATTAGACTGGCTGTTGGCATCAGGGGAGAACAGAGCAACCCAAGAGACACAGCAGTCTTCCTGGGACGTGACAGCTGAGCTTCTGCTTGTCCTGTAGTCTCCATTGTGGATGTAGCCACTCCAAAGCCAGGTCATTGTCTTTGTTTGTGTTACTCTTCCTTCCTTCTGCTTTCCTTTGCCTCTTGCCACCACCTGTGAGTAAAACAGCAATCTCCAGCTCTGTCACAGCTCTGGGCGCTCTCCCCTTCTGAGAGCATCCGGTTCTTGGTGCCCTCTTTGGTGACAACCACAGTTATTCCCAGTCTCACAGGCTATGAGAGACTCCCTTCTCCCCATCGTCTGTGACTGGAGAGGTTGGACTGGTATATGTAGGGTTGGCGAGAGCTGAAAGTGGGCTGCTTCGATGAGAAGGCTTTGCCAATATTTAGTTGTGCTGGAGGATGAGACCCAGGAGCCCAGAGAGAGGTGATAGGTACGTGCCCCAGCATTTTTGGATTCCCAGGGAGGGTGTGAGTTTCATTCTCTGCTTATCACCCATGTTTTTCCCTTACTGTGCAGTAGGTCTCTATCTCTTGGGGGAGAATGGGCTCTTGGTGACCTGAACTCCTGCATTTGCTGGAGCACGTCCAGAGAAGGGCAACGGAGCTGGGGAAGGGTCTGGAGCACAAGTGTGATGAGTTCACAGCTGAGGGAACTGGGGTTGTTGAGCCTGAAGAAGAGGAGGCTGAGGGGAGACCTTCTGGCTCTGTCCAACTCCCTGAAAGGTGGGTGTAGGGAGGTGGGTGTTGGTCTCTTCTCCCAAATAACAAGTGACAGGACAAGAGGGAACGGCCTTAAGTTGCACCAGTGGAGGTTTAGGTTGGATATGAGGAAAAAATTCTTCACTGAAAGAATTGTCAAGTATTGGAACAGGCTGCCCAGGGAAGTGGTGGAGTCACCTTCCCTGGAGGCATTTAAAGCACGTGTAGATGTGGCACTTGGGGACATGCTTTAGTGGTGAACTTGGCAATGCTGGGTTTACGGTTGGACTAGATGATCATGATGGTCTTTTCCAACCAAACTATTCCATGATTCTGTGATCTCTGAGAGAACACTGTTGCTTTCATCCTCATTCCAAGCAGCAAGGTCCTCCATCAAGCTTACTGTGTGGTGTCCAAAAGAAGAACCAGAAATGTGCAATTCCTCCTGCCAGCGTTGGTGGCCGTGGTAAGGCTCTGATACTCAGCCCCTTGCACTCATTACTCATCTCTCACCCCTTAGCCACTGCTGGGGAGATTTTATGGTTTCAGAATAAAACCAGAGGCACATCTCCACCTCTTCCCCCCGGGTGGGTTTGTTGTACAATGGGAAGACTGTGGACTGACCAAGAGATCCTTGTTCTAAGCACGAATGGGATGCTGCAAAAAGATAAGCGTGTGGAACTGCTGCATAAATGCATCTTCTTGACTCTCTTCACTCCCACCTCTGCCTTTGTTAGTGGGCAGTCGTGAAAGAAATTTGAAGCATGTGGCAAAGTCGTAGGATCACAGAATCACAGACTGGTTTGGGTTGGGAGGGACCTAAAAGCTCATCCAGTTCCAACCCCCCTGCCATCAGCAGGGACACCTTCCACTAGACCAGGTTGCTCAAAGCCTCATCCAACCTGACCTTCAACACTTCCAGGCATGTGGACATCTCTCTCTGCAGCTGCCCACCCAGCCCTGCTTCTCTTCCAGGGCTGCATGGTGCTTCTAGGTTGGATGCTCACAACAGCGTGTATGATTTGAGCGCCTCTTGTTGGGTCCCAGCTCTGCTGTGCTGTTGTGGTGCGTTGGCAGCCAGAACTCTGAATCTCTTCACCTTCCTGCGGTGAGGTTCTCACCCTTACTGCAAGGCTATCGTGTTCACATCCTGTGTTTGCTCGTGTTGTTTAAAGAAAGCAAGATAAAGAACAGCTGTTAGACAAGCAGGCCCTCTCTGGGGTTAATGCTCAGGACTACAAACCCTTTACCCCTCTGTGCTGTAGGGTAGGTAAGACAGAACCTGGTTCTGGTTTTCTAGTGCTTTTTAGATAAATATCTAACCCAGTTCCACCTGCTGACTCAGCTCCCTCTGAAGAATGGTTATGCTCAGCACAGTTGGGAGGTGTTTTCTGTCACTTCAGTGCAGAAATGCTTCCAGGCAACTTGGAAATGGCTGGGTAGATTTTACCAAGCTACCCCGCCAACTCGGCTTCCGGTATGGGAACAAGTGGAGAAAACTTCAGCCTAGACATCCCAGGGAGGGCCTCAACACTGGGATTTAGCGTGAGCGTGGATGTCAGGAAATATTTCTTCACTGAAAGGGTTATCAGGTGATGGAATGGGTTGAATCACCATCCCTGGAGGGATTTAAAAGACGGGTAGATGGGGAGCTCAGAGATAAGGTTTAGTAGTGGACAGGTACGGTTGGACTTGATGATCTCAAAGGTCTTTTCTAACCAGGAGATTCTATGATTCTGTGATTCTCCACCTTACCTGCACATGCAGCATCTGCCCTCCCCAGGGAGCCTCGGATGATGGTGTGTCAGGCTGTCAGTCCAGGCAGTGGGAGGACAAGACAAGTGGGAAAGAAAGAGAAGGGAGAGGAACCTTGTGTCAGGCAGAACGTAGGCAGCAGGGACTCCACCCCACTTCCAGCAAGCTCTGTGGGCATCTGAGTTTTTACATTGAGTGGCTGAGGGTCAGTGTTGGAGGGTGAAGGGCATTGGCATGTTGGAGGTTGCTGCAGCTCACCATCTCCCTCCCCAGCTTGGTGGGGAATGTGGAGACTACTTCCCTCCCCAGCCTCACCCCAACCCTCTGACAGCCAGTGCAATGTTGACAGAGTGATATTTTGCTCAGATAAAACAAATACACCTTCCTGCAGGAACAGGAACCTGCAGGCTCCAGCATCCGGGGTCCTCTGGCCAGCTCCTCCCTCAGTCCTGGCGCTGGAGAAAGAAAAAACTGCATGGACCCCGTGCTCCTGTGGGAGCCAGGCTGTTCCCTGAGCCCAGCTCTCACTCTGGAACTCATTGGCATTCATGTCTCTACTCTAGGACCTGCGTGCTGCTCTCTTCCACTCTCTCTCATCCGTACCCTGATGCTCTTGGTATTTCAATACGCTGCTTTCAATGCCTTTCTGCCCACCCAGATGCTTTTCCAGGCTGGGGGGGAACCCAGTCTGACTCTGCTGAGCTCTCTCCAGTTCATTTAAGTTACACAGTTCCGTCTGTGTACTATAGTCACTTGAATGTATCTGTCTTTTCTTTCCTCTCCCTGAGCCAGAAGCCCCGATCTGCCAACAAATGGGGTAATTTTTCAGCTGGTGTTTGGCAGCCGTCATTTTTCTCCCTGCCCAACCAAGGCTTTGTTGTAGCGAATGGAAAAGTTAGTGATTCGACTTCTGAATAGGAGGATACGCCTCAAAGGAAACAGGTTCCCTGCAGCATCAGGAGCCCAGCTCTGCAGCAGCCCTGGCCAGATTTACTGACTGTTACTGGAATGATTAGTGGAATGATTGTTTGTTGTTAACGGCCCATCTGTAGTGTTTAAACTTCATCGGGGAGCAGAATTTCACAGGCATTATCTGGCTGGAGGACAGCCTCATATGGTCCACAGAGGGGCTGTGAAATCCCAGAGGAAATTAAATACAACAGGGGGCCTTCCTGTTATGTTGATCCAACTGATCTTTTTTTTTTTTTTAATCTGATAGAAATCAGCAGCTGGGTCGATGTTCTCTGGGGCATCAGAGTGCCTATTGCTGTTGGCAGAGAACATGAGAAAGTGTCTGTCACCAAGGACAAGTGCTGAAGACCGTGATTTTCTCCCGCACTTGCATTTTGTCATCACAGGGATTTCTTGCCTTGTGCTCTATTCAGCTCGTTGTCACAGTGAGATGATGCTTGGAGGCCAAAGATAGGTACCCACAGCAGAAGGGGGAGATGTGAGAACACAGAAGAGTTTCATGAGTGTTTGAGGTGGAGATAAACAGGCAGAGAAGATGTACAGCACCACGGCCCTTTCTATCTTAATTCAAAGCTGTTTTTATCAAGCTGATGCAGGCAAAGGATAGGAACTGCTTTTCCCCATCCAAAAAGGGCTGTTGCTGAGGTTTGGCTCTCAGAGCAGGGGAAGGCTCTCATATCCCTCTTGGAGCTGACCCTAATGTTCTCTCTCCCTTTGTCTTTCCTCAGCATTTCTCTGAGAACCTGGATCACTTCTCCGACAACATGGAGGATTTCTCCAACGACCTCTTTAGCAGTTTCTTCGATGACCCAGTATTGGCTGAGAAGAACCCACTGCTGGACATGGACCTGGATCCACCCACTCCAGGCATCCAGGCAGAGCACAGCTACTCCCTTAGCGGAGACTCCGCTCCCCAGAGCCCCCTCGTGCCTGTCAAGACTGAAGAGAACGCTAACGGTGAGCGCGGGACATGAGCCCTGCACAGCTTGGGGCACATCTGTTAGCAGAGGCTCTGGCTGGCTTCCACGTGTCCGGACAAACCGCCTGTTCCTCGGGCTCGTGCATGGCTGATCCAGGGAAGGATTTGATCTGCTGTTGTCAAACACAGCCCACATTTTTTCCTTCAGTTTGTGCTCTCATAGTCACGTTGCTCCTTTGCCGGGTTAACTTATTTACGAGGATGATAATTGGTGGTGGTTCGATGTGCTGCCAGCTCCTGGCCAGCAATAGGAAATGTCTCTTTATGGCCCTGCAAACCTGGGTGTGGGTGCCCTAGATCCAGGTCTGTTTTGGCATTAGGCAGCAGGGTTTTGGCTTCCCATATAGGAAGCATGAGTCTCTGGCTGCTACCAGTGCTGGTACATGTGGAAAGCTAAGTAGCTTCTTTACCAGCAGAGCTTTTAGCAGGAGACAGAGAGGAACAGTCATTTCAAAACCTATTTTTAAAACAATTCATTTCAGGATAATTTATGATGGCTGGATATTTTTAGAGCCATCTTTGCAGAGAGTCCTGTAATTTGTGGGACTGTGTGGGTGTCCCAACAGCTGATGGACACCAGGCTGCCTGAAAAAGCAGTGGCACAGGCTCAGTACACACAGACTAAAGCCATTCCTTTGACTGAGAGTGAGACCTGGGACAGAGGCTTCCCTCTCGTGGCCAGGAGTGATCCCAGCTCTCTGGTACCAATGAGTTTGTAGAAGGCAGTGAATGAAATTTGCCTGCACCACGCTACCTCAGGGACTCCTCTCTGAGACACTTTGTCACCACTTCTGCTCCTCTCCTCTGTGTCTGGACATGCCCCTGCTTCAGCTGCAGCATCTCCAAGGCAACACCATGACACTCCTGAAAGGAGTGGGACACTGGTCCTTGGGCAGGGGCCAGCACAGGGAGTAACCCAGGAGAGCTTGAGATGGACCTGACACTTGGTCTCTGAGAGCGCAGCTCAGCGCTGTACAGGGAGAAAGGCCTCTGGGTACAGGGGTATCTGTGCCCCCAGTCCTGCAGTGGGATAATTCAGCCCGTCTTTCCAGGGCTATCTTGGCTGGGTATTGGATGTGAGTCATATTCCAGTGTAGTCCTGAGTCAGGTCCAGTATTTGTAACACTGTGCAGTCCTTTTGGCACAGCTCCATCCAGTCTCAGTCCTTTTAGACATTCACTTCAAATTAATTACCCAGGCATGGCTTTTCTGTAACATAAAGCAAGATCTTCTTGGTCTGCAGAGCAAAAAGGAATGCCCGGGCTCTGTCTAGGCTTGGAGCTGGCTGAGGTTTGCTCTTTATCAGCTTTCTCCCAGCTTTTCCGCAGATCTCCACAACACTTCCAAATCCTGCCCCTTCCCACATGGTTCCCACTAACCCGGGTCAGCTGGGGCGAGCTGCTGGGTGCGTTGTGACCCTGCTTATCAGCGCAGTCTGCTTCCCAGATGGTTTGTGCGTACAGACCGGCTGCTTCGCTTCCCAGTACCAGCCCTCAGTTCTGCGGGGCGGGATTTCATGCCAGGAGCAGGGGGAGCCAGGGTTGTGCAGAACAGCGGGTGCTGGACCAGCCTCGGTCTAGTGCCCACCTTCTTGTACAGGTCCTGCTTCTTCACTGCTCTATGTGTCACCTCCCAAACCCAGGGCAGCTATGGGCATCTCTCAGCCATGCTTCTTTCCATTATGGACAGAGTAATGAAGCAGAGAATGAACTTCCTGGCAACATACAGTGAAATGTGCAGTGGTTACAGACTGGCCTCACCTCTGAAACATCCTCTCAGGCTGCAGAACATAGATGTGTCCACACAAAATGCCTTCTCCTCAGTCCCTCGTTGACCCTCTGATGGCTTATGAGTTTCTGATTCTGCAACCCAATCACTCCCCAGATAAATCTCTGAGGGTGGGAAAGAGAGCAGGGTCAGAATGTAGACAGGAAATGGGAGGACAGCGTGTACTTATTTGGGTTTCTGCTCCTTGGACTGTCTGGACTGACAGCACTGGGGGGCTGCTCTCTCACAGAGTCAAGTCTGAACGGGGAAAGCCCTTGGTGGTCTGCTCCCCCTTGTCTGGTAACTTGCTTCAGCAGCAGCCCTCCCAGACAGAGAATGCCTCACCCCTGTGAGAAAGAGAGAAATGAAGAGCTTTGCAACACAAAAGAAGGATGAGGGAGATGAAGCTTCAAATCACAGTAAGGGAACTTTAGATTAGCCAGTAGGCAAAAACATTGCCAGAGTGGGCGTAGTGAAACTAGATGAGATTTAATGGGGGAAGCTGTGGACTCTCCATCACTTTTCAGAGGGGTAAGATTAAGTCAGACAACCATCTGTCAGGACTGACACAGGTTGAGTTGAACTAGCCTAGAGCACTAGAATAGCCTGGTAGACCACTCAAGGTCCCTCATCTCTGTGACAGGCTGTGACTGGCAGAAGAATTCAGTCCAAGTTTTCTGGCTGCAAACACTTGCAGCTGTGTAACACTTTGCCTCCTTCCATCAGAAACAGCTTATCTGCATCCCAGGGGTAAGTGGGACTTGACTGCCAGCTGCAGGTTCGGTGTCCTTAGCAGGACAGAGAACACGTAGTTCAGTCTGTGCGTGCTCAGCAGCCTCTCTGTTGTCACGGTTGTGCAGTGCACCCCTGCCCAAGATGCTGCCTGACAACCTTGTCCCAGCTTGTGATAGTTTCACAAAATTAACTCCATCCTACAAACCCAGGACATTGCTGCATTGTGGGAAGCTCCAGGAAGCGATCCAGTGGCACTGAGAGCAGCGCACGGCTGATACGCACACGGAGCAGCCACAGGAACTCCTGTCTGTGCTTGAAGATGTCCAGTCACACAGGGAGCTGGAGGAATGAGCCTCTGCTAGGGGGACCTGTGTAGGCAGCAGAATAAGAGGTGCTAGACCAAAGACAGGAAGACAACATATTCCACTGGCAAGGGCAACACTGTGGTAACTGATATAATTCTTGCCCAATCTTTAACGCCACTGTGTCCACACAAAAACCAGAGGCAAGATTCTGCCCTGTCCTATCCTGAAGGCAACAGAGCCTGAGGTAGGCAAAGATTATGTTAAGCTACCTTTAAGTTTAGTTCAGATGGCAGCTCCCACATCAACAGCTGCTTGCTTGTACTCATCTCTGTGCAGGCTTTTGTGGAGCTGAGAGGGACCTTTCTTCCCCTCTCCTCTTGCCAGGACACCTTCTAGACTGAGACCTGCACTGCAGAGCTGCTTTGGGCAGCGGGGCAGCACCCCTGGGTGTGAGTGCTGTGTGCAGAGAGCCGCGCGGAGGGGTAGGGCAGTGAGCCCGACCGTGAGCCAACTGGGGCACTGTCTGGTGACAAACTTAGTGAGAGTCTGTCCTGTGTCAAGACAAATGCGTTTCTGGTTGTCAGATAAAAAGGGGAAGGGATGAGGATTAAGGAGGAGGATGCAGGCTCCAGGCCAGCTAGGAGTAGCTTTTTGGCAGGATGAAGTGTTTGAAGAGCAACGAGGGGACCAAAACTTGAGAGCAGAGCCCAGGCAGTTCTCCTGCCTAGCAGGTTTTTTTCCCCAACTGAGCTGCCACTTATTGACCATCACCTGAATCCCAGCTCCTGGGTTCTCTGCCTCCAGTGACAAGCCAGGCTCGTGCCACAGATGTCCACAGGACAGAGCAGGCAGGGGACAAGGGGAGCATGTCCACACAGCTCCATTCAGTTCCCTTCAGACACTTCCTTTCCCTCCCTGCTGCCAGCAGTGGCAGTGGGGCATGGCTGTAGGCAGCATCCCCCTGAGCAGCGCGGGGTGGAGGAGGGAGCCTCAGAGGTGAGACTGAGGGGAGCAACCTCAGAAGCAAGTGCCACATTGCACTTCCTACCACAGAAAGGGACTTTCCTCCTCTCCTGTCATGCAGCAAAGCTCTGGTACTTGGCACAACATCGGCAGGAGGCCAAAGCGGCACGTACAGCCCCCCACCAGCCTGTCCCTGTCATCGTGCTTGCCCTCCTGCCCGGTCTCTAGCACAGAGATGGTGCTATTCTTGGTGACACACCTGGCAGCTCTGTGATGCTGGCCATGCTGCCTACGGAGCAACAGCCCAGCATCCTCCTCACACTGAGCTGCTCTAAATATAAATAAGTTCCAGAGGATGAGACCAAGACATCACTAGGGGAAGAAACCCTGCAGCTGTCCTCCAGCGCTCGGGCTGCACAGGGAGAGCAGAGCAGAGACACGATCCCTCTAGCTCTGTCCTGTCTGCTCCCCACACGCTGGGGGTTCGTTCCCTTTTGTACTCTGTGTTGTGGGCCTGCACATGCTTGTGTGGTGACAGTGCTAAACTTGGAAAGGCAGCCTCCCCAGACGAGGGGAAGCTGGCTGCATGGTTTGTTTTTTTTTCTCTTGTCCTATTCTTGCTGGAGTTTGACTCTCACATTGTGCATGTTTCAGAGCTGGAGAATGGAGTGTGGTCGCTGGGGCCCAAGCTCTGCTCCATCATGGTGAAACAGGAACAGAACCTGGCTCCAGACCTGCCTGAGTCCCAGCTAGCTGCCAGCTCCATACCAGTGTTGAACCTCAACCCTCTGCAGAGGCTGCCAGTCCACGAGGAGGTGAGCCCATCTAAGATCCATGGGGAACCCGGGCTCTCACACAGCGGCACCCCTGCTGATGTGGACCCAGGTGACTGCAGGGTCCTGCCAGGTGACGTGGCCACTGGACAGACAGGAGAAGGTGATGCAAAGCCCAGACACTGTGTTATCTGTCACTCTCCTCTCGAAATGGCAGTCAGAGGAGCAGCACACCCGATGCTAGCTAGAACTGTGTTCTTGATCCTGCAGTGAAGCTCCAAGACAGCTTATCCTTCCAGAGAAAACAATGGAAGGAGGGGTTTCTCCAGCACAGAAGGCTTTACAATCTCGGTTGAAGAGATTGTTACCAGTGTGGTTCCTTGGCACAAAAGCAAAGGCTTTTAAGCTCGCATGGGCTGGAGGCCTGTCCCTTCCAATCTGCCAGTATATCTATAGCCACTCTTGGCTTATTGTCATTTTTTTAGAGAACAGTGTCAATTAATGTGATGCCAGTGACCCCACTGTTCCTGAGTGGGGAATAAACTACATACCCCTGCTCTGCCACTGTCCTTTTCATGGCCTTGGGCTTATCATGTGGCCTCTCACTTTTCTCAGCTGCTTACTGGAAATGGAGGTCCCACTCTAGGTCCTGCTTCAAAGAATCACAGAATGTCAGGGATTGGAAGGGACCTCGAAAGATCATCCAGTCCAATCCCCCTGCCAGAGCAGGAACCTAAATGAGATCACACAGGAAGGCGTCCAGGCGGGCTTTGAATGTCTCCAGAGAAGGAGACTCCACACCCTCCCTGGGCAGCCTGTCCCAGGGCTCTGTCACCCTCACTGTAAAGAAGTTTCTTCTCAAGTTTAAGCGGAACCTCCTGTGTTCCAGCTCACACCCATTGCCCCTTGTCCTACCATTGGGCATCACTGAGAAGAGCCTGGCTCCATCCTCCTGGCTCCATCCATCCTGCTTGCTTTTTCCTTTGAAGCAGCGGGAATTACTTTTCCAAGAAACAAGGGGCCAAGTCTTTTGGTCATATCTAAGTTCTTAAAAAGTCTGTTTGTCTGAAGAAGGTTCACTTTATGCCACTGGTACGTGGGTGTAAGTTGGGGGGTCAGTTCAGCTGGCCTGGAGTCCAGCTGTGTTGGATGGGAAGGTCTGACTAGTCTCACACAGACCTTGGCTATCTTGTAGCAGCTCAGTAGATAACAGTAGAGCATCTCTGGGGTTCACTTCCTTTTTTACTCATGCTGAGCATCTTCCCATTTCAACAACCATCCAAAACAAATGGGTACTTCCAGCCAAAACTGCACACAAACTTCCTCCATTATTTACACAGCTTGAACTCGCTGTGCCCTCGAAGCTCTGCTGTGTGTGTGCTCAGCAGTGGTACCGTGGTGCTCTCTCAGCTGTGTTTACAGTCTGGAGGAGTTTGCAATGAGTCTGTTTAGTGTAAAAACTCCCCCAACCTATGGTGGGCTGGGGGCTGGCAAGCCAGGGAGCTGAGGGGCAGCAGAGCCCAGATGGGAATAAATCTACTCTTTATTTAATTCTCAGTCCCCTCCAATTGGAAACAGCTGCCCAGTAGCCCTCATGAAAATCATGTGAGCAGGATGGGGGGGTTGTTCTGTTTTTGTACAACTGCTACACTCCCATTTCCAATGAAGGCAGATCAGAGAGGGACTTGCCATGGTAACGCATAGGTTGGTTTAAATGGCACTGTCTGGGTCTAGCAAGGGAAGAATTGTCATGGATAAAAGTCATCTCTCCCTTTCGGAAGCACTCAGTGCACAGCTCAGCAGCACATCCATCTGCCAGTGCCTCTTCCTCTGCAAACATGTGTTTGCACTCTGTGTACCCAGCAACACACACTTCAGGGGGCTCATGTTTGGACTCCTGGTTTCTGTTATGTGGGGCAAGAGGCAGTTCTGGGGCAGAGCTGTGAGATGGGGCAGGACAGAGAGCAGGGGAGCAGCAGCAGCAGCTATGACCAGAACTGGTGGGAGCCCTCTGGGCAGGGGAGGTGACAGTGCCCAAGAGCTCTTTCTGCTTTTCTTCCACAGACTCCCATAGAAATGACTCCAGCACCTGTGATCAAAGCTGAACCCAAAGAGGTGAACCAGTTTCTAAACATACCTGCAGGTAAGAAAATGGAATTTGCTGGCTGATTTACATCCCTCTATATGACTCAGATATAGGTCATTACTATACAGGGAGGAAAACCAACACCTGAGAGCAGAGCCATGCAAACAATACTGGGGCACAGACCGACAGAGGAGTGAGCGCTGCACTCTTCCAACTCAGATCAGTGGCTGGACGAGCAGCCACGCACAGAAGCATTCAGACAGGGACTCCCAGGCAAAGCAAGCTACCTCAGAGTTGGAAATATGTGAGAGTGCCTTCAAGTCCTCAGAGGGACTGTAGTGTTATCCAAAAACAACCATCTGAAAGTCAGGAAATTCAAGATCCAGTTTAATTTGAAAGAAACCCAAGCATCTGAAAATCTGCCGGTGCACAAATGAAAGCACTATAGGAACCTCCACCGCTGCAGAAAGACTTTCCTCAGGCGCATTCCCACCTCCATTAAGGCCCCCAGGGCTCTCCAGTACAAAGTGGGGACAGTTTTCACGTGCTTGGCAACCGAGTGACCAGAGCCCCTTTGGATCAAGTGTCCTGGCAAGTGTGTGGTGCTTTTGGAAGAGCTCTTCTCTTTCAGAGCTTCCTGTACTTGTGAACAGGCTGTGGAGCAAAACATCACAGGCTTTGTACTCCATTTTGGTTGACACCAGAGTACCTTATTGCTTTGTAAATACCTTCAGTGTCTTGGCAAAGCCCCTACCAGCTCTGAGTCCTGCAGTTCCTAGTTTAGCACATTTGAGGTCAGCCTCATCTCTGTCGTGGGCAGCGCTCAGTCCAGCCTTGTTCTCAGACCCACCTCCTTGCAGTCCCGTGTTACAGCAGTGCCTTTTCCCGGTGTAACTCCGAGCCCTGTGCCTGTACCAGCAGGCTGACACGAGAGCCATTGACTTGTTCTCCTTCTTTCTCAGTAGATGACCTGGTGCAGATGCCTCCAACTCCACCCAGCAGCCACGGCAGTGACAGTGACGGATCCCAGAGCCCTCGGTCTCTGCCTCCCTCCAGCCCAGCCCGACCTGCTGCTCGGTCTTCTACTGCCATCTCCTCCTCACCTCTCCTCACAGCACCACACGTAAGGAGGCAGCAGGATGTCCCTGGGACACAGGGCTCTTTGGTGCTCAGAGCAGGGCTGGAGGCTTTGTGAGCCTCACCTGGGGGATCCTGCCCTTGTTGAGGTCTCCAAGCTGAATCGCTGTGGCAAGGCAACGTGATGTCCTAGCGCAGGGGTGTGGGGACAGGATGGTGCTCACAGGAGTGAGGAGATGTCCAGTGAGTCTTGCACAATGCCTATCGGCAGCTACCTTGTTTTAGCAAGTGCTGCCTTTCACGCTCTACTTTGGGAAGTGGCCTCTGCACTGGAGGACCTTCTGAGGAGGTTAATGGAAGAGAAAGGAATAACTGAGAACTCCCATAACCAGACTGGTTTTTAACTGTTGCCCAAAAGTTCTTTGACGAGGTCCTGCAGTGCAAGTGTCTAGCCAGCCTCACCACGAGGGAGCAGCCGCCCTCCCAAGTAGAAGAGGAAGGCAGCTGCTGAGCTGTGACCCCAGGATCAGACTGAGAGCAGGAAAGAGCACTGCCCTGCACCTATTTGTGCCAAGCCCCTCGCTGCTCTGCAGGGCTTTCAGGAGGACCACTGGGGTCAGACTCCTTGCTGACGCTGATAGCTGCTCTCTGTGTGTTTCAGAAGTTACAAGGGACCTCTGGCCCGCTGCTCTTGACTGAAGAGGAGAAACGCACCTTGATTGCTGAGGGCTACCCCATTCCTACCAAGCTGCCTCTCACCAAAGCAGAGGAGAAAGCACTGAAGAGGGTCAGGAGGAAAATCAAGAACAAGGTGAGTGTTTGCAAAACCATAACCGTACAGTTCCTGTGATTCCAGAGCATCCTGAGCTGACCAGTGCTATCGTTACCGTCACCTCCTCAGCTGAGGTGCAGCTCAGAAGAGGTGGGATCCTGCCTTTGGTGCACTGGTACAAGCCTCCCAACCCACAGAAACAGTGCCATGGGGCACCTCTGCATGAACACTGTGCCTGCAGCTGTACCTGGGGAGTGTGGCTTCCAGCCCAGCTCCTGGGATGGGACCCACAGGCTAAAGCATCATGGATCTGACCAACGGGCCTGGTCAGGCCTTGCTGTGGGAGGCAGGGCAAAAAGAGGCGTTGCATGGTGCAGGATGGGTGATGCACAGAGCTCGTTAGCCAGGCAGAGGCTGTGAGACTAGACTGTGATTAGAAAGCATCCCCTGAGACCCTGGATTAGTCACCCAGTGACTCAGAAGTGGTCTGGGGCTGAATCTGCCCAGCCAGCCACAGCACATACCCATGTGAGTCAGAGGAGTTCAAAGCCACCCTAAAGATGCTCTCAGCAGCGAGGGGGGTCAGGCATATGGCAAAAAATGGTTGTGGCCTACAGGCACCTACAGCATCCATCCCCATTTTGGCCTGGAGACCAGTAGGAATGGCAGACTGGAAGGCAACATCCCCATTTTGGCCTGGAGACCAGTAGGAATGGCAGACTGGAAGGCAACTTCCCCATTTACCTTTAGGTTGCTGTGTGTACAGGGAGCAGACAAGATGAGGGAGCCCCAAAGAAATGTCTAGAGGCTTATGATACTGACTCCTCTCTGATGGCTGCCCCCTGACAGATCTCTGCTCAGGAGAGTCGCAGGAAGAAGAAAGAATATGTGGAGTGTCTAGAGAAAAAGTAAGTCTCTTCCTCTCAGTCTTATCTTTTAAAGAAGAGCCCTGTCCATGCACAGCTTCCCTTCCTAGTGTGTTTGTCTCTGAATTGCTCTAAGAGTACAATTCCTTGCAAGGCTGGCTGCACAGAAGTTTGGTTTGGGATCTCGCCCCTACTCCCCTCCCTCCTAGAAAGCCTCTTGCAGGATAAAGATTGCTCTAGAAACTTTGTGTTTCCAACTGCTTAGTTTGGCTGATCCCCTGCAGAACACAGGCCATTTTGGCTGACAACAAGGTGGGATTTTGGGGTAAGAAAGAGTCACGTTTCCTCTCTAGAAGTTGCTTTTGTCTGTCCCGTAAGCTCCAAACCCTCTGAGGGCACTGACCACAGCTTCTCCCCCTCTCTTCCCATGAGGGTGGACACACAAGCATTTGACAGCAAGAAAAACCTTGCACTACAGTTATTCCCCACACTCCCTCCCCTTCCACTGCTCTCTGCATGAGCTTTGTTTTACTCCTTGCAACCCTGAGGTCCTGCATGTGTGGCAGGCATAAGCCTAACCTGACATCACACAACACTGACAGGGTAGAAGATAACTCCTGAGGGCCTGATCCTGTGATCTCCTTTGTATTATCAGCCCCTGAGGGACATTCCCAGGTAAAGAGGAATGCTGGGATCCAGGTGCAAACTCACATTTCTGTTTAAATACCATCTCCTTCCTATAATTAACACCACCTGAGATCAGCAAAATGGCAAAAAAAAACCCCGCCAAACCCAACCTTAATTAACTCTTCTCCCTGATGCTATTTGTTTATCTTCTCTAAGTGCACAGAAATGCTGAATGAAAACAGATGACACGAGGCACCCTCGAGTTCTCGTGCCCATCCCTAAGCAGCACCTCGGCATGCATGCATCCAGGCGTTAGAACACATCAGCTCCAGCCAGTGTCCCACACTGACACGCAGATCCTTCCAGCTGGGGCTGGGGACTTGGCTGTCCTCGCTCAAGTGGCAGGTCCCCGGGTTTTCTGTGCTGGGGCCTCTTCCCCAGCCGTGGCTGTGGTGCCTGGACATACTCAGCGGTTTGTTACGCTGGTGTGTTGCTGTGACAGATGGCTTTCAAACAATGCCAGGTTTAAATGTGAACCAAAAGCAGCATTCGGGGAATTTATATATTTATTTCTTTATAGTGCAACAAATCTTTGGTCAACTTGGCTTTCTATAAAGAGTTGGTTTGTCAAAATCTGTCCTTGAGCTCTTCACCATTCACTTTGCACCTCTGCTGCAAGCCCAGTTTTTACACGGAACGCCTGGTTCGCAGGCTGTGCTGGAAACCTCCAGCAAGACCAGGCTGTGTGTCCCTAGCCTGCCTTCCTGCGGGCCTGGAGACATTCCCCTTCCCTCCTCCCGGCTGCAGCCCAACCACTTTCCCTTCCCAAGCCGTGGGAGGCAGCCTGCAGGTTCTCTGCTGCCCTCCAGTGCCTCCAGTCGGAGCTGGCCCAGCGTTTCCACAGAACTCAACTGGTTTTCACACGCAGGGCGCAACAGCCAAGACAAGTTCTCAGCCTGAGTGGGAGAGGTTTGAATTTGTCCCTTTCTTCCTTTTCCGTGCTCCCTAGGGAGGTTTGGAAATGATGGAAATACCTGCATAACTTTAGGTCTGTCCTGACTTGACCTGACTTAACCGGGTGCTACTGGCTCTCCCAGCCCTTGGGAAAGCCTGGAGTGGGGAATGTCACACGTAACTGTCCACCTGCAACCTCATCCCTGCTCCTTTGGGGCTGGCTGCTGCCAGACAGGTGAGGGACATCTGGCTCCAGGACCATATCTGCAGGTGATGGATGGGGACACTGAGCCTCTGCACGTCCAGAGAGGCAAGGACTGCATTGGCTTTATCTCTCTGGCCTTTGTAACTAACCAGCTACGGGTTTTATTCCTGCAGGGTTGAGACATACACAACAGAAAACAATGAACTCTGGAAAAAAGTGGAGACCTTAGAAAATGCAAACAGGTAGGAAAGGCCAGACCTGACCCTCTGTGGGTAGGGTGGGCGGGCTGGGCAGGCAGGGAAGCCAGGGGAGCACCGGGGCAGGGGGGTGAGGGGGGAAAAGCAGGCTCCCCTACAGCTCGTGGTGGGAAGGGCGCTGCTGGGCCGTGGCAGCAGCGAGGCAGCTGGGTTTGGTTAGCGAGCCTGGAATGTTTGTGTTGGGACGGCCAGGCCACGCCACAGCGAGGGGAGGGAGGGAGG